ATGATAATAGAGGAAACAATGGCTTCAGGCAATGTAGCAGCAACCCAGCACTGCCGGTGTTACAAGGCATCACTTTCCCTTTATTAGGAGTAAGCATGACCGTTAGTAGGCCCTGCATAAATATTTGGGGTAAATACACAGTATATCATTTTTCTTCACACTTGAATTGCATTATGATTTCCATGCAGACTCAGGTGAACCGGGGTCAGGGGACTAAATTAAGTGGGTTCTGGAAGCAGCTGCAATGGTTGCTCTCTTTAACCATGCTTGGCTGGTTAAGCTATCAAAATCCGCTTGTACATGCATCATAAAAAACACAGTGTGTGTGTTTAAAATTGTATTAAAATGCTGTTGACCCTTAAAATTAGAAAGGGAAACGTGCAACTCTTTGCATGGCAATTATTTCATGTCCATCTAGAGCACAGTAGAGTAGCGACATATGACTGAGGCCCCCTTGAAAATTTATTGACAGGCGAGCCGAGAAGTGAGGTGGTTCATTTATGACAATGGGGCGTGATGACATCACACCATAAAAGCTCTCTGCAGGGTCAGATGGCGGGTTTGAGTCTTTGTGTTTGCTATGCATGAATATATGAGATGTAGAGTGGGTCAGTGGTTGACATTGCTTTCCTGTGATGTATTGTGACATCTGGGACTGTGCTGTTTTTTTTTAAATGCAAAGGCTGGAGAATATGATGATATGAAGTTTGCTTTGCTCTGGAGGAAAATCACCTCTATGTTTATAAAAGAGCTGGTTTTATAGTTGTAACATTCCCTCACTCCATGTTTGATTTTGTCGAAAATTTCTACATTTAACACAAAAAAAAAAATCCTTTCAGCCAAAATCCTTCTGTTCCCGAATCTTTTGTTTGGCAATATGATGAAATATAATGGGACATCCAATCTTTGTCAACAGGTACAGAGGTTGCTTTTTTGTTATTTTTGGAGTGGCCACCTTTATTATATCTGTAGTTTCCTAATGCTTTTGTGGGCAGTGTTGCAAATAAGTAAACAGGAATTTTTGACAATGTTCAGGCCTCATAAATTCACCTGGTGATGAATTGCATGGATTTGTTGGAATAAAAAAGAAATTTGGTCTTCTGGTTTTGAGTGCAAGAAAACACATGTAAGAACAGATACCTGCTATATGCACATAAAGTATTAATGAATGAGTGAATAAGAGCTACAGCATCAAAATGACAGAAATTGTTCAATTAAGTTATTGCACAATATCCAGTAATACATGCAAGCTCCTACAAATTGTCAGTATGTCCAAACTCGGTGCTGAAACTGTGGGAAACACAGGCTATTATGATAATGCAGCTTACTTATAATAATTAGCTGTTGTATATTCATTAGCCTTTTAATTGCTTAACTCAGGGGACCACCAGCAAACCCAGTCAGTCAAATACACTAATGATAGTCACACACATGCATGCATGCATACACACAGAAAGACCTTGCAGAAGTAACCTCCCCCCTGAACTTTTGCAAAGTACTCTCCCTCCAATCACTCCAGCTTTCTAATACAGCTGTCAGTTTGTGCCAGAAAAGCAAGCTGTAACTCTGTATGTGCGGAGGAAGTACCTGTGACATCTGCACTGACATGCTGGTAGATAATCCTCCATGTGATTGTCGCACAAATTGGGGGTCAGCGGCGCTGCAGACAGGGGGAACGTGGCAAGGGACACAGAGGAAATGTTCAATCACAGGCCAGCCCATTCGGGAGCGTCCCTTTTCAGCCTCTCCAGCCCACGGTTCATCTCTCTCTCGTGCTCTCGCTCTCTCTTTCCCTGCCCACAGCTGCCGGGCTTCCACTGGGAGGAAGCTGTATTATGGCTGGGTTAATTTACTGATTAATATCCAGACACTAGATCCAGCTTTCCCCAGATGGCCAATTAAAAACTACAACTGGCAGCGTGCATAGGCCTGGCAGCAGGTTGCCGTCGGGCCCAGGGCTGGAGGCTGTGACAGAAGGTGTGGGTCCTGTTTGGGCCCGAATAAGAGCCGTGGACTATCTTACTCTTTGACTCTCACACTAGAAGGACAAAATAAAGCTGTAAAACTGAGCAGAACATGGAGAAAGTTGGGCTGCGGAAAATAAGTAGAATATAAAGGGGAGGTATCCACAAAAAAAAGACCTTGTGAATAGAGAGTTAAAGGTTAATGTAGAGTTTATTAGACATAGAGAATCGTTATAACAAAGTTATTACATAAAGTTATTACACTGTTGGTAAAATCATACAATAAATATCAAGTTAAAGGCGATGCCAGGTAAAAAAAAAAAACACACTGCATTGAGTAAAACAATCACTGGGGCATACTGACAAACACATTTTCACCATACATACTAAGTAAAAACTCATGCTGGTTAAACAATAGATGTGATAAAAACTGATTAGACCTGAAGACCAAGCCTCTATTAGCCTGTGTTTACATAAAAACCATATGTAACCATAGTTGACGAAATAAATATGGACATAGTTAGACCTAAAGGAGGTGAAATACGTGGGATAAATTAGATAAATTATGCTAATTGAATTTAACATTTGCATAATATATAGAATTGTTTACATTGTATGCCCTGAAGCATAAGCTAGCAAAAAGTGTATTTTAAAGTCTAATTTAATCATATTCTATATATTCAAAGTAATTCATGTATTTATTCATTTATCATCTATTTATCTATGAATGACTATAATGATATCATCACTCTGTTTTTACAATGTCCTTTTTAATCAGCATCTTATTTAAATTGTAACAAAATTAATAGTTTATGTAAATTATTATCTTTGGTATTTTAATCAGAATTATGCATTTTATGAAAATAAAGTCAGTTTTGTATCAATATTGTTTTTGCAGCTAAATACAAATTTGAGATCATTATTAAACTGATCAGACACGATGAAGTACTCATAATTACTTTCTAATTAAAGTATATGATGCCTTTCAGACTCTTGACTATTACTTCATGTAAGATCAAATATGTAAAATCTCGAATACATCCATAATATCTGAATACAGTTCAACCAAAAAAGCCTCATTCCTGTGTTTCTGCAGCATGCTGTCTGTGATAAAAGCCAGTCTGCAATGCAGCAGTGTTAATTTCACTGTAATAACCCTCACATTATGAGGCACTGCTATATTTAGACGGAGGCCATTTGAATACAGGTCTTGTCTTAATACTGACACAATCCTTATAAATGGGGTTGGGTCACCATGGAAACGCTGTAAATACAATGGCCGCTGCTGCTGAGAGAGGATGGGTAATTAATAACTGAATTACAGAACAGAGACAGATAGCAGGACAGACGCATGCAGCTCCTTGGTCCCTTGATAAAGGAGAGTTTAATACAAACAGTTGTACTTCTACTGGGTCAGCTAAACCCTGGCTATCTGGGCCATCTCTGTTCGAGGAGAAAAAGGCCACGAAAACAGAATTGATGGCCCATTTCATTATGTAATTGCCTCTTTAACTTCCTTGTTCTGAGCAATCGCTCTTTAAACTCAAGCTCAAGGTAATATATGCGGAGATATGAGGCTAGTCTTACAGACAGATCTTTCAGTAAATAGCTGTAATCTTTGCATCACCATTAACCGCTCTGGAGCTGGTGGCTAACGTGTTATCTTAAAACTGGACGGAGAGCTGGAAATACAATAAGGTACATGACAAACTGCAGAAACTGCTCTGAATCCTTCAGGATCGCACAGACCGGTGAAGGAAGCTCTCTGCTGCTGCTGCCTCTGCCGCTGCTGCTGCTGCTGTGGCTATCAAAAGTGCGGTCCAGTGGTGGAACAAGGCTCCAGACAGCCTTTAAGCTGCCACCCTCAGTGTCGGGGTACAAGGAGCACAAAGCTGGATATGATTACCTACAAGAAGAGTGATGCTTCCTGCCCTCCAACCCTTGAACTTAAGGTGTACCCTACATAGAATCAAAGTAAACATGGAGCCCCTGTTCAGAGCCTCTGAAGTGGGGAGATGTGAGAACACAACACGAGTGACCCGCTTCCTTTCATTTCCCTCTTCATAAAGATCCCACAAATGAAAAAAAAAAATTGCGATGCAACTCAAGAAAGCAGTGGTGGGAAGGCTGCGCTCTTATTGAAGGGTCAGTAGTAGGATCACTGGGAGAAGGTCACCAAAGAGCCTAAATTCACACCCCATAATTGAGTAACAGGGGTCGCTGATTACGAGATGAGCCGCATAGAGAAAGACAGGACAGTGGATGGAGCTGTGTTCACCTCAGGTTGTGGTGAAAAACAAGACAAAGCACTGAAAGAGGGCTGGGGAAGGACAGCATATTGGATGGTCTTCGCAGGTCCACCACTGTGATAAAGAATGAAGACTTAATTAAGTGAACAGCCAGATCTAACAGGAACCACTATATCAGGCCGACAGAGAGAGAGAGAATCCCCTTTATGTAATTAGATCAATTGGGCATGAAGTGAAGAGGCTTCATCCAGGAGCAGTGTGTGGTTTTCAAGTGGGATCACTGACGGAGCTTTGATTACCTTTTGATTGTTAATGTGAAATTGGATTGAGGCACGACGGTATAAATCCCTTACTTTCTAATTAAGACTTTGTAGGATTGTTTTGTGCTTATTTTTTTCCTTTATACATGTGTGAATCTCAATTTTAAGAAAAGCTTGACCTTAATGTGCATCATAAATACTTTTTTATAGCAAATGCGCTTGTCAAGTTCAAATCATTAGAGGTAATTAATGGCTTCTCTGATAATTCACCGGAGTGCTTTATGTCCACTTTTTCGGCCAATAAATTAACTTTATAGGGACTTATTCCCTTGTCATTTCAAAACAGAGCATTTGAGCTCTGTTTCTTTCTTTTTCTTTTTTTTTTTTACAGTTTTATTCCTCTTTATGAAAAAACACCCCTCAGTGATGCAGTGTGCATTGTTTATTAAAAGTTGCATTTAATCAAAAAAAATTAATGCACACCTACTTAACGTGCAACCAAAGGACTGAGACTCATAGTTATTTATCTAGTGTTTGGCTTTTAGATAAGGACCTAGAGTCCCAACATGAGGGGTCCCCAGGGGAGAGGATAGTTCTGTGGCCCAGTGGAGCAGTAGAGTGCCTCTGTCTGTGTCTGTCTCCACACCTTCAGCTGCAGACAGAGAGACGCTCCGTGAGGGATGGGCCCCGTCGTCCGGGGGAAACGGCTTGTGTCGGCCGCCCACACCGCGCCTCCTCTGTGTGAAATTGGCTGAGAGGATGTAGACATATTCCACGCACTGATCCATGGCTGAGTATAAACAAGAGAGGATCTCGCTTTCACTCGCAGAAGGTCAGGAAGCTTCCCCGTGAAACAGTAAGTGACACTGCCTCTTCTGCGCTCGCTAACCGTCTGACCGCTGGAACTTGACCCTCCCATCCCCCTTCCCCGCCCTTCCCCTCCCTCCCCCTGCTGCTGTCACCCTTTCTCCTCTTCTCTGTGAGGGTGTCCTGTGTACATTTCTTCCACTCTCAGCAGGGTGCACTGATATTTAGTTCCTCGGTATGCCAACTTCATCAAAAATTCCAGGGGCAGACACTCAAATTCACATTGAGGGGGCGAGTATTCATCCTGTGACTGGAGATCTGTGACCATCCTGAAACACACCTGTAATACCGCACATCTAAACACCAGCCTGAGACATTTATCATGACTTCAGATGAAGCAGAAATTTGAAAATCATCCTAGATGTCCATGTCACCTCCCACAGTATCCAAACGGTTGAGACAGAGGCATGAGATCCGTGCATGAAGTCTGATGGTAGGCTGCAGTAAAACAGACCGGGAAAGGCATGAATGTAATTAAAGTGGCTGACACTTTTATGCTGGGTAATGGGAGTCCAGGGCCCAACTATTCCCTGACGAGCTCCCCTCACAGTATGGAGTACATTTTAATACCCACCCTGCACAATGACTTAAATGCAACTCTCAAGGCCTTCATGGAGATGTAATATTGATGTGTAAATAGGATAAATGCCAACATCCTGGGGTTTGGGGACATAGTAAATAAACACCAGCGATTACAAAAAAATGTATTAAAAACAACAGCCCAAAGTTTCTTGAAACTGCAGAGAAAGACACAAACAGAGAAAAGAGATTGTAGAGATTACCTTTAGTGTGAGAGGACCATAAACAAAAAAAGTGACAAAAATATAATCTACTATTTCATTTAGTTTCCCAAACTACTACTTTTAATTTTTCTTGATTTACCTAAAAGATGATAAAACAGCTGATCTGAACAGAAAATTCCACCTTAATGAGAGAAAGAAAACCTCCCTGAGTAGAATTAAGCTTAATGAAATCACAGTCCGCCCTAAACAGGAAACAGATGAGTTGTGTAGCGCACTTGCACTAATGTTAGGAAACAAATGCAGAGAGTAGAAAAACAGTTAGCCATCCTCCAATCAGTAATGTATTTGTTAACACAGGTAGAAAGGAGGGAGCTTTTAGATCACAGTGGGGCAGATAATGAAGAAGTTAATAAGAGAAATGGTACTTTGAAATGTTCCTCAACCACCCAGGTCCCACAATTTAATCTGTAATAAATAATCCGGCATCATTGCAAGATGGCATCTCATAATGGCAAATGAAATATGCTGGTATGATAGGTACAATAAATCTGGATTTTCCTATGGTTCCCTCAGGCTAGGACAATATGCAACTATAGTGCTCTCTGTCAGGAAGAGCAGATCTCCGAGCCGTCATAAAATCTAAATGGGCACTAATTAGGCAAGCCTTCCCTCTCACACTTACTATTTCTATTGACATTTTCGGCGCGCCACCCCCCTCTCCCTCCCGCCCTCCCCCTGCACCACCATAAGTCACTGAGAGAAGAACTCCCAGGATTGCAGAGCACAGGGCTGTTAAAGGGAAGTTCAACTTAGTGGTAATGAATAAATTTGCCCTCCCATGCAGTACTGTTTCTTTTGTCTTGGACCCAAGCATATTCATGCATCTAAATGGTAATTTGCTTTGTAACAACTGCAACCACTGTGGCAGATATCAAGGCCATAAATAGATTTTATAATTGTCTTTGATTAGTGGGAAAGTCATCCAGATTTTTTAAAGGGCCTGGAGAAAATAGGAAGTGTTTTAAGAGTGATTGAATTCTCTCCTTCATTATACTGTACACAGCTAATACATAGTTTGTGGTTATGTAAGAATGCCACTGTTATAAATGTCTTATTGCCAAGCATGGTAATATCTCTTCAGACAGCATTAAAGTGTAGTGAACCTCACTCAGGCAGCCCGAGGTAACAGTGTGGGGAGGACTGGTTGGATCAGGTAAATATATATATGTATGCATTCCTGCCTCCTTCAAATTAATAAAAACCTAATGCATGCTTGGCACAGGACTGCTTGTTGAACATATGCTGCAAGCATGGCTAAGCCATCTGGCTCAGAGTCAAGTATTCGCACCAACTGTAGTCTTATGCTACCTGACAGTGGAAAAGCTTTATTCCCCTGGCATCGGGGGCACAAATGGAGAAATATTATTGAAATGATTATCTGCATCAAGACTCAGATTTGGGCTGACATTTCGCTGGCTCTGTGTAATCCGAGGGGTTGTCTAGGAGAGGGCGGAGAGGGGGTTTGCCGGTAAGCCTTGGCGGGATGATTAATGAAGCCAGGATACTGGGTGGACCCAGCCCACCTCCACTCAGACCCAGGGGCCGAGCCCCGCATATGAAATTGGCCTACGCTGCTCATCTCCCTGGGAGAGAGCCACTGATGATCCTCCCAACACCGCCGCTCTACCTGCAGTCACCAAACAGCACTTCAAAGCCGAGCCAGATCCAGGCTTAGGAGATGTTCTTCTCTTCACTCTGTGTGGCTGAGAGGAAGGGCTGAAGAACTGCATCCATACTGTCAGATACATTTCACTCACAACATATTGAGTTTTATTTCTGGGTGACAACTTTTGATCGTTTATAAGTTTAGTTTTTAAAAAGAAGTGAATAATTTCTTAAAGGAGTAATATCCTTTTAATGAGCCATTTGAAGTTTTATACAAACAAGAGGGTTTTGCACATTTGAGGGAAAAAAAATCACCACTAGATAAAAAGTTTCACAGCAGACGTTGCATGTTGTCCTGTATGTTGCCACGTGTATCCTGCGTTTCTATTTAACTGGACGTCTTTTGCGCTTTACATTACTGCAGACTCTCCTTCAGCCCCTTAGTCTTGATGGATGGGCCCGTGAAAGCCTCTCAGGACGCCGGCTACCGCAGAACAGCAAACCAAAGTCTTGATCAAGGAAAAAAGGCAGCAGCGACATGAAGCTCATGAATGAACGTGGATGAAGGGGAAGTAATTCAAAAAAGCGAGGGACATCTTTAATCATTCTGTGTCGATGATTAGTCATAGACAATGTCGCTTTGTTAAAAAGTGTGCTGTAATTAATAACTGGAGCAGGACGGAACAATTGAGGGAGCGAGTGTCATGTGTTGTACAATACTGGAGAGGTGATTTCTAAATAGTGTAAATTAGGTGTTTACCTATTGTGATCCAGCCTGTGACACTGCAGCCTCTTTTTCCTCGAGAACAAGACCAAAGAGAATGATTAATTGCGAGCTCACTGGGTTTTACAGCTTCAAGAGTAAATCAACTTCCAAGAAGTGCTAACTTGCTAAAATATAAACTAATTTTAGGCCCCAGATATTAAAATATAATCCATCTTCTTCCTCCACAGGGAAAGCTAATTAGAAAATGTGACTGGCATAAGAGAGGAGAGGTGGAGGAATAGTGGGATTAGGCTCGGGAGCAGAAAATCACACCCTCCTGCTAAATCTTGGGATTTCTACACACTTCAAATCAACTATTTCTTGTCGTGCCTCACCGGTTGTCACATTTCTAAAACAAAGGCATGAAATTATTTTATACCCCAAAATGGCATGTTAAATTAGGAGATGCGTGGAATATTTCAATAAAATTGTGCATCTGTTACAGAATTTAGCAGCGGAAAGGATCCTTAATTTTTTTAAGTGACAATGTTTTCTGCTTTCTCTAAATCTCTCTGGGTCTTTATTTCTAAATCCACCGCACACACTTTCTCCTTAAGCAATGGTGAGGACACAGCAGATGCAAGAGGCAAAAAGGCTACCTGACGGAGGCACGAGTGGCATTTAGCTCTTGTGTTTCCTGTTTAACATCCACAGTTACAACAATTAAAAGGGCCAAAGCAGGAAATGTCTGTCTACTACTTCTCAAAATAGCACAAAACTGTAGAAGTTGAAATTTTAAAGTAACTCTCACACTTGGCACAAATATTTAGGATTTCCTAAAAGTTGGTAACCTGTAAAATAATCTGTGTGTGTGTGTGTGTTTGTGTGTGTACACTACATGCAACATGACACAGAGGCAGTGTGCAACAGAGCTGAGTAGTCCCAGCCAGCCGGGCTCTCTGGAGTCCCAGAAGACAATCCCCCGAGAGCACAAACACTCTGAGTGGTGACAGCTTAAAGGCAATAAGCCAATAATAAAGACCGGCAAAGTGGCCGTGGGAGAGGCTCCTTTTCTATTCCTGCTTCTTTAACAACAACAACACAGCAAACAAGTGTCGCTAAAGAGTCCACAGCCAGGTGCTTATAGTTGAAGTGATGTAATTGAAAATCCACCCTGTGCCAACATGCAGGAAGGAAGTCATTTTAGCAAAAGTGGCAAATTGACAATTTATTTTCAGCAGACCTGATAACCCTTTCAGTATGGGACTTAACTTCATAATCCATTAACAGAGGCACATTCTCAGTATTTTAGCGCTATAATAGCCGTCCAATTGCTGTCCAGCTGAGAGTCTATTCGACTCCACCAGATGCTCTGAAATGCTTTCCTACTGTCTCTAACTACTCAGAAACACTCAAAGAGAAATCTTCTGAGAAGAATTTGCACTTAACCTGGCTACACTTTTATTTTTAAAACATATTGTCATGCTACAGCAGGTGATAGTAAATTCATTTAAAAAGAACAAAATGTCTGAGTAAAAATGGCATTAAATTCTGATGACAAAATGTCCCTGAAAAAAAAGAGTCTAATTGGAGCAAAAGCAGCAAATACTGGTCGTCAGGGGAAAAGTGCACCCATGGCACTCTGGCCCAATTCCCTCAACCTATCACGCCAAACTCTGTCTTTCCATTCATCCTCCATCTAATCACCTTTTCTTGCTGGAACTTTTAGTGGTTGGACTCTAACGTTATTCTTACACTCCAGTGCAGTTGTACCCTGTGAGGATGACAAATTTCTGGGCTACTTTGGAAAGAAGAGTGCTGCAGGGGAAGGCAGTGGCCAGTCTGCGATGGGGGGCCGACCTGTAGAGAGCTCATTTGGAATTCAGCACTGCAACATTGCCATCTTTTGGCCAGACTGTATACTCCTCTGTAAATTCCCAGGGATACTTCACTCTCCATAGCCACAGTGAGGTCCTGAAGCAGCCTGACACAAAGGTATGTTATGGATTTATTCATTTGTTAATGACAAGAAAGGAAATATTTTGTCCTGATTATTCAAGATGTGTTTGATGCTTAAAAGTAACTCAAAATAATGAAGTGTGTTCTGTTTAAACTACTCAGACTAGTGACTGCATTTTGGATTTCAAGACAATGCAACTGAAATTAAATACTCCGGTCAAGTCCAGCCTGCCTGAGAAACAGTGGACATCATGCTCAGAAGTATTTTAACGCTGTTGTTCAAATACAAAAACTAAATTTTTGTAATATTCGTAAAAACTGCTGAGCACATTTTAATCCATTATCCGCTCTTCATCTTCAGGGAGTAAATCTACAAACACACAGTGAACAGGAAAATCTTGAGAGGGTCTACTTGTCCTCTACCTGAATAAATATTTGTCTGAAGCGCCCGTGCCGTCCTGTTTTCCCACGGTGGTGTATGGGACATCATGGATAAGGCAGAGGATGGGCTCTGACAGAGAGTGACAATTCATCCCTTCATCCCCCCCTAACTGACATGTCACATTCTCTGATGACTTTATTGTGCTCCCTGTCACTGCACTTAATCTGTGTGTCAGTCAAGCTGGAGCAGCCCACACCAGCACCTCCAGACAGCAAAGCTAATACCCACCCTTTTAATGACATTACATTTGGAGTAATGCCATTCAGTAAAGCACTGATATTATCTTCTATTTGCATCATTCAGCCAGTGACACAGCCAGAACTCGGCCGATAAAGAGCTGGTCATTTCCCCATCCATTTCCACTCGGATGACAGATGTCAAGATGGAAACTGGCTATTATTTACTGTAGCCGTGTTTTTATCACAGACAGACATGATGTCTCACTTACTCCATGCTGTCAGCAAATGCATCAAAACTATCTCTTTTGTCATATTTGGAAGTTTAATGAATTTTGTTACCTTTTCAAAAAATAAAAACACGATTTCTTTAATTTTGGTGGAAATCAGAACTGCTTTTGTTAGTCAGGAGCTGTGTGATCAAAGTGTAATACATCAAATTGAACTGTCTTATGTGACTAAAACCTATTAAAACTGGTAAACAAACTATCACTTTAATCTGCGTCAAGTATCACTCGCAACAATTCCTCCACATCCACTCCCTCTGACTTAAGTCTAAATGATTAACAATACTTGCTCAAACAAGAAATATTTCCATTGCCCGACCAGTAACGTGTGTACCGTCCTCTTCAGGTGCAATGATGATATTGTAATGAACACGCCACAAATAATTCAGAGTGATTCAAACCCACTCTGTAGTGCATTTAGTCCAGCTGTCACTGGGAATGAGTAAGCAGCATTAAAGGTAACTAATTTTTTTTTTCTTACTGACAGTGCGTTTTCCTCCCATCAGAGCTCCAGTGCCTAATTAAATGTATTTAGCATCATAAACATTCCACAGGGACAGGTTGACACCATGAATTAATGTCCCGCCTCAATACTAGAGCCTCTCTAGCTGTGGGGAGAAGTTAGCCCAGTGCCAGGTAAGAGCAGCTGCACGTGTTTCTTTGTTTGTTTCTATATCTGTGGAAATTGAAATGTACTGATGCAGATTTACTTACAGAGTCAAAATAACGTATGAGCACCAGCTGACATAAAATAAAAGGTATTGTAATGGCAGTAAACATTCCCTTACTTCTTTTGTCTGTTTTATATTGTGAGCAAGTCTCACATTATGGGTCTAAAATATGGGGTTGAACTTAATCATGTGAAGCTAGTTTAGAGAAACTTTAATATTAAAGCTGTCCAATAATTTTAAAGCTAGTGCTGGTGGCCTGTTAGCTTAGCTCTAACAACAAGCCTGACTCTAAACAATGATAAAACATAAGACGTCAAAGCTTAACATCATCTATTATTAAATAGCTAGACACATATATTTCTTTGTTTTTTAATTTATATTTACCTTTTAAAAAAAAATTGAACTAAAGTGGTATTATGTACCAAATTTAGCTTCTAGCCAGTTAACCTTAACTTGGCATTTTCTTTCTTGGCTTCATTTTACAGAAACTCAGCTAGCTTCTTCCCCTTTTCTGTCTCTAAGCTAATGCTAGCATCATAGTTACACATTAGAGTTATTTTGATCTCCTCTGAAACCATCTAGCAAAAAAAAAAAAAAACGGTATTTCCAAAATGCATCTATTCAAAAGCAATACAAAAAACTATGAAGATAACACGGCAAGAAAGACTACTAGTTTTCTAACTGGTGTGATATTTGGTTCAGAAAGCCTCTCCAGCTTTGGGTCTACTTTTGTAAATCCTCCCTTTTTCACTTGCATTTGTCTCAGATTCACAGAAAGGAAACTAGTGTGCCAATGTTCATAACTGCTGCTCTCTAACTTGGTGTTCCCCCGACCCCCTCACCTTGATGCTACATTCACCAGTGTCCTCTGTGCAACAAAACCCCTTTAGAAAAGCAGCAGGGATTTTGGATGACCTCCTTGGGGTTTGAAACCCTTCCCAAGTCCTCACCCTTGAAGTAGGAAATGTTTCACAGCTTATTTGCTGCGCCTCTTCCTTGCATTAGGAGCGAGAAAAAGTGAAATAGTCTGTTAAGCCTCAACCAGAACAAATAGTTACAGCTGCCAGACTGGGCTGAGGGGGCTAGAGAGGATAGAATTACACGTTATTATGTTCATTTTAAATCTCAATATTTTTCCTAATTTTCTCACATTTTCTCTTGCCTGAAAAAAAGCCTAGACATCGCTTTTCTCTCCCCAACACGTGTAATTGCAATTTGCAAGAGCTAAAATAATTTTACGACACAGGAACACCTGTATTCATCTCCATATTAATAGAAAACAGGAAGTATAAATCCCAATTTTCCAGCAGCCAGTGTCAGGGAGGATGTTCCTTGAGGGAAAGGGCTGTCTCCTCTCCATTAAAATATTGGTGCTCTCTCCCCGCTTCCTCTCCAAAGCGCCCCTTTTGAGCCGAAATCAGATACCGTAATTATGAATGGCACCCAATCTACATCACTGGGCTTGACACATCTAATATCCATATATGCCAATGCACATTTAAGTTTCCTCTTTTAAGGTGCTCTCTGTGTTGAGTTATAGGACTGCGTGGCATCGCTCTGGCATACAGGCCCCTGTGAGTCTCATTTGGCGGTGGAAAAGGGAGGTTTGACTGATAGGCTCATTTGGGAAGCACAATGCCCTAAAATATCCTGAAGAAGAGGACAAACTTTTACACCACTCTTGAAAGCACTCAAGATCTGTTAATGGGAAGTAGTTAAACCTTAGCCACCAGCAGAGGGAAAACACTGGTCACAATTAGAAAACATTACATCATTAGCATATGCAGTAAATGCTAGGGCACATTTACAGTCGTAAACTTATCAATGAAATCTAATACCTAATGGTTGTTTAATAGAGAAGTGAACCATTAATAAGTGCAAGTCTTACTCAGGTCTGTGTTTTTGTGTTCCTGTATGTCATTACACAGTGTGGACAGGAAAGCACAGGAGCCATTGTCAGGTCAGGCTCTACAAAGCTACCGCCGATGTAGGTGGTCCACGTTGCCTCATTAGTAACAACACGAGCAGTGGTCTAATGAACTTAAGACAATGCTAATTAATGGAAGAGAACAAAGGCTTAACATTTTTAGAAAGTGTGAAGCACTGAGTCTGCTTGTATGACAGCGTTTAAGCCACCTTAATCCGCTTGTTATGCGGCGCATGGCGCCTCAACCGCATGGTGCCTCGACCTCAGCGCGCCGGGGGCAGGTCAGAGGGAGCAGCTCCGTACCTCTGCTGATATAGTCACCTGTGACAATCCTTTATGGGCTGATAAAGTAAGGGAAGTCTCTCAAGGAACAGTGCACTGACTTGGCGGAGGGTCTCCCCTGGGAGCAGGTGTCAGGGTTGTCTATCAGAAGGCTGAAAGGAGAAAAGGGACACGTTACCGGGCTCCATTGTATCCCAGTTGTCATTGACTGATCGGGTCCATTTAGTCGGCTTTCACAGTGAATGAAACCACCTGAATAGATGAAAGCGAGACAGCCTCCCCGACAAACAAGGAGCCCTGGAATATTCATGGAGGATCTGTGAGGAAAAGATTAATGTATTAGAAATTAAAATGGGGCCCGGACGTATGATCTTGCTCTAGCACTTGGCCAGACCTGTGTCACCCGCCGCTAGCGCCTGAAGTCGGCACATGCCGCTGCCAAGGTGGAGAGGAATCATTAAGCACCCTGCCATTGTGTGAGCAGAATAATCAAACTTCACCCCCCCTCCATTCTTTCCCGCAGCACTGACAATGAATAATTCTGGAGCCATTTGCAATGTTAACGGCACCTATCTGGGCCATCCATGCCTTTATGATAAGAGCTCCAAATATGCATTTCAACAGTCTGAACAGAAGCTGCTTCACCGGCATTTCAAAGGACACCTGTCAGTCATCTGAAAGAGCTGTCAGTCTCTGTCACGCAACGGTGCCAGTGAAATGGCCCAAAAGATAATCTTTACTCTCTCTCTTTCTCTCTCTCCACCTCTCTCTTTCAGATCAGAGCAGTTACATTTGCAATAGAGTGACAAGTGATTTACACTGGAAAATGGATTGTGTTTAAACTGAAAAAAAAAGGAGGGGGGGTATTCTTTTAGGCTGCGTTATTCTTCGCTGGTGTACAGCTGTATCAAATATGCTATCATAAATGTGATCTGGGCCACACTGAATGTCATTATGTGTGATACCATGAGCACTAGACAGGCTACTGAGCTCAAAGGTGACTTTGATAATTCCTATCTCTCCAAACAGAGCTCTGCGCCCACGAGGAGTGGGAGATAGGTAGGATCAAATGGGCTCGTGCCTCCAAAAAGTTTGACCTTTCTCTTGTTTTAAACGGGAAGAGGTCTTCACATCACCTGCACTTTTTGTCTCACAGTGTTGAAAGAGGCGACTTAGCTAGTATCTCTCAATGGATTTTTACTTAATAAATCCCTCTTTTTCTCGCTCTTGCTCCCTGCAAAGATCTGCTTAAAGGATTTCTTAAACCAGTTTGTTTCTTGCTGTACTTGCGCAGCCACTTTATTGGCAAGGAGGTGAGTGAAGCCCCCCTGCCCCTCCACATGTAGGCCAGTCATTTGTTAAGCACGACTAACTCGTGTGCCACCAGCTGTTGGTGATATTTACAGATGAGTGCAGAGGATGTGTTTGGACCCAGGCTCGCAGGGCCGGGGCAGCACTGGGCCCGGTCCCATCTCCCTTATGGCTACTCCATGAGCGAGGACAGCCAGCACAGACCACGTTACCATAAAACCAGCATACAGGGGCGCATGGAGTGATGCAAAATTTAATTTGATGTACACTGGACAACCAGCTGGCTCAGCTTAGTGTGGGGTTAGCCATGTGCCTGTGAAGCGGTGGATCTTGAATCTAAAGGATGACCTTTACTGCAAGTGATACCCTCCAAATATAATCCCATCCACCCCAAAATGTGCTCTCCAAAAATGCACCAAAAAACCCTTCAAATGTTCGGTCCTCTCATTTCTCTAGATGACACCAATCTCCCGATCACAAACACACGGCAGCTAAGCCAAGTGGAAGATTATTGCATCATGCAAACCGGACTTAATGGCACATTTCAATCACTGAAGTATGCTACAACTGCCTGAAACAGTCTCCAACATGGCCCTGGGAACTCCGCCAAAAGCCAGAGTCACTTTAGTTCATCCATCACAAGCCAATACAAAGCCGCCTGTAAACCCTTGTGCTTACCCATCAGAAACTCTCTGTTGTTTTCCAGCAAATCAGGCCATTTTGACACAGAACAAACAGCAATTGGATGAGCAATTTGAATTTTGGGCTACTCCTCTTTGTCACATAGTTTCCACACCATGTCCATCCCTCCAACAATCTCCTCATTGTGGCTCAGGGAGGACACGGTTCAAGAAGTGAGTCACTCGATGAATGTACACTTTCATTTCAGAGCGCAGTAGGCTGGTATAATCCCTGATACTGAACCCTGACTCACCGGGCTTCCTTTTTTTTGAGTTTCAAGATAGAGCGCTCTGTTCTCCTCCCGTTGTGAAAAAAGGACTTGTGCTTGCACTTTTGACTGGATAGAGTTCATGTACATGCTGGAAGAAGAAATGACATGTGTCAGAAAGACAACAAGGCTGTTGTGAACAAAAACATTACTCCAAAGACAAATGAGCACACGTTTGAATAACTCAAGGGTGAATTGAATGTTATGAGTTAATCAAATGAAGTGAATAAAGGAACAAAAGCGAGTAGTTATCTTGTCTGCATTTTTAAAATTCTCCCACAGATGAATGTCAATAGATGTGCTTGTACAACAGCTTCCTTACAAATTATTCAGTAAGTACAATTTTGCAGTTGAAAAAGTCACACACACAGAAAGCCATTTACCTGAGTCACAAATGAGTGTGTAATTGAGTCCTTGGGGAAAATAACTCAGCTTAACTACTGGAAATAATGTGTAAATTCAATACATCTCCTAATGAGCTCATTTGAGTTTGCTGCAATTATATTTTGCAAGTCTTGCTGCAGATCGGATTCTGCAGCTGAGTTGAGGTGAATAAAACCAGCGCTCCCCTTGTATTCATTAAAATTAGCATATGGACCTGTCAACACTTCTCAGAGGCGCGCTGTAACAATGCCATTTAGCCCGGCATCAAGCAATGCCAATGGAATGAATGCACGTGGTGGGTAAATGCCTCCCCACCCCTAGCGACAGGGGTGGAACGGGGACTGGCAGTGCTGGCTCTGACGCACAAAAGAGGCTGCGTTTTAACAGCCAGGGCCTGGCCTCTGACCAGGGGCCATCCACATCAACACTGCTTACACTCCACCATACCTCCCAGCTACTGGCCTGGCCAACCAGCTCCGTACAAGCACACACAGCGAGGCAGACGGGGAGACGAGCGAGGAAGGAGAAAAGAAGTCTGAGAATGTGTGTGTGTGTCTATGTGGAGGTGGGCGAGTAGGACATAAAGAGCAAACTAGAGGAAATAGAAATTAAAGATAGGGAGGTCTCAGAATTAAATATATGATGTCAAATTTTCCAAATATTTCGCAGTTTGACATGAAACTTGAAAAGTATTCTTATCAAAAGGTGCCAGGAATAAGAGGCCCATGCAAAATCAGACCTCCTTTATTGTTGTTTGTCATCGTCACCCTGAAGCTGCCAGTGAGAGCAGGTATTGTTGCGCAGTGGAGCAACACAAGGCCCTGGTTGCATTGTTGTGCCAGGATTTTAAAACAGGCTCGAGTTATCAATAGACCACAGACTATTCAACTCACTCAGCTGTGCCTCTCGATACACTTCAGAACCTTGCATGCTGAACAGGCAGCCATGATCGCACACAATTGGACGGCTTCACTGACACACAAAGTGTTCTCAATGTTGATCCAGGTCTATGTCTTATAGAGAGACCGTATCATCATTTCAGAGCTCATTTCATTGTTTTCATATAAAGAGTCACGTCTGCATTTACAGTCACTTCTTTGAATTTTGCCTTTTAATGTAATAAATTCTTCTCCATATTTGTGACTAATTAACCCGACATTGTGCTAACCTCAGCAGGAACAAAGTCAATGAATTTGGCCGTCGCAGAAAAAGGACGCAGAAAGAAATGAAATAACAGACAAGCTAAGGAGAAGACGAGGCCTCAGCTGTGCTCTGCACTGATCTACACGCTGTGATCACCTGGAGCAGAAAACCGAATGTAAAGGCCTTGGGCTGGCTTTGATATTTCCATTGTTCGTTTGTCTGCTATGACCTGGACTACTTCTAACAGACCTAGACTGGAGGTCAGTGGGAATCAAAGGAGGAGAGGAGAGGAAAGGAATGAGAAATAGAAATTCAAATCTAAAAAGGGGGCAGTTAAAATTTCCTCCTCTTTTCCAACCCCTGAAGTAGCCATCACATGACATTTTTTCTTTCTCCCTTTTCTTTTTCTGTCTTTCTATCTATCTAACTTACACAGAAACACTCATTATGGCTACCTTTTGTCCAGTATTTGGTGCTATTACCACTCCCTATCCAGCTCTAAAAGAAGTGGCACCAACTTTATTCTGTCAAGGCGCTTATTAAAACTTTACATATTCACACTTCTGTAGAGCAGCGCCTTAATGAGCACAGAGAGAGACTCCCACAGTTTGTCCTCACCTTATGATAAACCATATGCAATAAGGTAGAGAAGAAAAAAGATACCCTATAGCGTCTGAACAGAGCCAAGGAAGGTAGTGTCTGCAATGGCAGGAATTAATTATGAAGAATACGGATAAGAACAGAGTTGGTGATTTAATCAAAGCTAAGCATTTTCATGGTTTATGAGTATATAACTATGTAGTAAATAGATCAGTAAGAGTGACCTATATTTGCCTCTCAAGATGTCAGGAATACTGAATATTATGAGTTTTTAGAAGGTTCATGTGAATTTCTTTTCTTTATTCATGATTTAAAATAATCAGTCTGTAAATCTGGTAAAATAAAGATTAAAATGAACAAGAGTCTCTGTTATAGTCACTTTCATATATGATTATCTGAGGTGGATGACATGGATTTTTTTGAGCTGATGCTGATAATCGCCTGCTGGTGAGAAATGCTGAGGAGAAGTGAGCAAAGATTGATATACAGTTTATATTAGCATTTTATATTTTCTAATTTGGACGCACTGTTGCCTCAAAAGAACCAACGAGAAGCTCAGACTCTTCCATTGTTAACAAAGTAAATAAGTGAAATGTAAGTGTTTGACTTCAACAAAGTAGCCTAAATCGAAACTATCTAAAAGTAGTCTATCTACAAGTATCTTGATTAATTCATTATCCAGCCTCTGAGATTTTCAGGATGTTTGACTTTTTCTTTGTGTTTCTGATTCAGACTGAAAATGTTTATACCACATCAAACTGTTTGAAAACAGCATTTTGACTCTTAACCTCCACTTGATCATCATGCTTATTTATTAGTACACATATGTAGAGGTATAGCTCTTTGGTGTAATAAAGGAAATGGTCGATTTAAAATAATCAGGAGCTCAGGTGGTTTGAGAGGCAGTTCATACTGTCTTGAGCTGCAGTAATGGAGAACCAGAACAGACAGAAAAACGTCTGTCAGATTTCAAACACATCTTTATTTTTGATTTTGTCTGTGCTTTTGTTTGGGATTATGAGAATTGATTTGGTGCACTGCAAGAAAAAAGCCAATATCTCTGCAGGCACAAAGAAATATGAATTGTCAGACTGAACCAACTATGGATGACAAGGCCTATCCGAGATATGACAGTCAGAGTTGTTGTAGTTAGTGCGGCGTACTCGTCAGCAGCAGAGGAATTTCCTTTAAATGAAGGAGCCGGTTCTCTGTCCTGCGTTTATGTCTCGTACATCATGTTGCAGGGAGATTTAAAATGGCTATAAACAACTTTTCATCCATTTTTAATTTGGCAACATGAGGTTGGATGACCGTTCTCTTATTATGGGCCATAAAAAGTCAAAGTGAATAATAGGACGTTCTAAAGTCAGGCTGTAATGGAGATACCCAAACAGGGGGGATGAGTCTGATATTTGTATATTTGCATGACATTTAACTCCTGGTTAATCTACTCACTAGAACAGATGCAGGATGAGATCAGTTTAAAGAAATGCACTCATAAAAATCCATTTAAAAGCTATTTCAAACCCCTTATATGAGTGAAAAGTTGGCTGATGATCCAGTCCTGCTTCTATAGGGAGTTTAACTGTGTTATAAATCTGACACAGCTTTCAGTGATAGCTCACAACTGTTTCAAAAATACGTTTCGGTGTGTGTAGAGTGACACAGCCCAGCTCAAATCCCTCTCTTTCCTTCAAGCACAAAATAGAAAAGGCCTGGGCTGCCACCACCTGATTCAATCAAGTGTGTTACATTGTATACCCATGGGCAAGAAGGCAACTTGTATTTTAATTAATAATGTAATACCCTGGTCTCAAAGCTTTGACCCCTGGCAGTCCTGCCCATTTTTTGTAAATACTCTCAAGATCCCTGCAAAAGATGCTTGGAGCATTTTTCCCTGCAATCATGAAGCTGGATTTGATACATAATGCTTCAAACTTACACTGTAGGATTAAGGAGCAGTGTGTGATTGAAAAGAAAGGTGTTTTGGTGTTTTACTGCGGCGTACAACCCAAAGAAAATACTCATTGTGATCATTTGGGTTAAATGATAGCACATAGAATTTAACAAAGAGGCATTTTTCTTCAGGAGGATGATGGAAGTGAAGAATGTGATAAGTAGATTCAAAGAGACAGGGCCCAGGATAGAAAAAAAAAACATCCTTTAAAAGCAGAGAGCATGGTGTGAATGAAAGTTAACGTTAAGGGCTATGAAGACAGAGACATGGCCCTGGGTACTGTGTTGTGAGGAATAACATGCACAGTGAAGGGTAAACGCACGCTTCTTTGGAGATCCAGGACCGGAAAGAAGCCTGAGGGAGCTCAAAGGCTTGTGGGACAGGGGCTGTATTCAACCTTTCCTTTCAGCCACACACACCACAACAAACAGAAGATGATGGCGCTTTTACAGTATGCCATGAGAAGCACTGACTCATGTTGTTACTCTTAAAAATAAGAACCAAACATATATATGAGCAAAAGACGGCCTAACTCATATAAAGACAATGTCAGAAAACTTAAGGCTTTGATCAAAGTTAAATCGTAGCTTGAAAGATAGAAGAAAGTCTATTTTTCTGGAGATATATCCACAAATGTTTTAAAATAGCAGCTATTAAGTAAAGGAAAAGTCTGTGTTAAAATGTAATCTTTTGATAGGACAAAAATTTTAATTAGCCAACATGAACTCAGCCACAAGTAAATCTAAAGTGATTATTCTTGCCCTCAGAGAAAGGCTGTCTCCCTGCGCTCTGTCAAAAGGTCAATTATGGCCCCAAACCGGCATGCAGTGACAGTGACCTGGAAGCGCTACTGATGACCCCAGATCCAGGGGCCCAAAAGAGTTGATCATCTAACATGCAGGCTGCCCCGAGCCATGGAAATCTGACATTTGTCCTTATTCAAATGAACACAAACAATATGCATCTCATGCCTCTCCCTAACCTGTGCCAAATCTAAGGCACAGGGACCAGCAGTCTTAAAGCATTGTCCTCCAATCCGAGGGCATGCCCTTCCCCGTGAATACAGCCGCACAGCAATCACACACACAGCCTGCAGGAAGAGCGGACTGCAAACGGGCGCCATCTTCGCTATTATCTACACTAACACTGGTCATTATCTAACAGACTGCAGTCACAGAGAGGAGAGTTAAGAAATGTGAAGTTTAAAAACAAGTTAAGAAACTAATGAGAGATTAAGAAATGAAAGTTTTCTTTGTCATGTTGGTGCTGGATGCCTTTAGAGATCATAAAATTAAAAATGTGGTGGGTGTAACAATGACTAAACTGAAAATAAGTATAATTATCAACAATTATCGTCACACAGAAGTCTGCGCTATATTTTGTTTTTTTGAAACTTGAAATGTAAATGTTTGGTTTAATTTCTTTAAGTTTTAATTTCTCCTATTGTCCTTTTCTGCTTCAGTATGCCTCTATTTTCAGAGGTAGAGCTAATAAAATGTTGTTGAATCAGGCCCGTTTAATCACCAATCCAGCCTTGATTATAAAAAACATATGCATACAAAAGCATTAGTTGGTTTTCTCAGATCTTTCATTGACTCTTATGCTTTTGCTGTGTTAGCTTTTTACTGAGCCAATATAAGGATTTTTTTGTCAGCAGTTATTAGGGGTTGAAGAAAAAAATCGATACAGCATAGTATCGCAATATTTTGTCTAGTGATATATACTATCGTCTTATTTACCAAGTATCGATTTTCTCAAATTAATTGTTAATATGAAGTCAAATCTATGATAGTGGAAAAATAAAATCAACTGTTTGTCCAGTGAGGTTGGCAGAGGTGACATCGTAGAGCAGGAGAAAGTTTGTACAACAAATAAATATAAGGTTTGCAAGATGTGCTACATGAAAATAAAATACAGCGTAAATAAGACAAACATAGAGAAAAGACTAATGCTAAATTAGCTAAACAGTTGAAAAAAATGTGTAAATAGCAATATATTGTATCCCAATACACACTGTATTGCAAAATGTTATAAATCGTAATAATATCGTATCGTGGCCCAAGTATCGTAATAATATCGTATCATGGGGCCCTGGTGATTCCCACCCTTAGCAGTTATTCAGATAATAGAATTTTAAACAATAAAAGCCACCAGTGAAAGTCACTGTGGTTTACTATCAACAAGCCTTCAAACACAGTCAGTGGTTAAGTGCCATCACATACAGAGAAAAGAACAAGCAGAGGTACATCAGACTGAGCGGTAACCTCTGGTGTTGAAATGGGAAGTTGAAGCGGAGATGTAAAAAATTGCAATTCCTGAGTCTCCACATGAGACTAGCTGAAAATCCTGTTAAAACTCATGTTAGAATAAAAAAAAAGAAACATCTTTGCTGCCTGGTTTTAAAAAAAAAATTGTTCTGCATAGCTTGTTTCTGTTCTAAAGATACAAAGGATTATGGATGGATTTGCATAATTAGAGGCGATTTGATTTACAGGTGACCGCATTGTAGTTGTCTGCAAGGATGCTTACAGCTCGCTCCTACTTCCTCTTTTTCTAGATTGACCAAATGTTAGATTGAGTCAGTATGCATCTACCTTTGACTGGCTTCAAAACTCCTTTTCAGAAAGAGATGGGTGACATCTATGCTTTATAAAGTTTGTACAACAGGCTGATGACAGAGTAAAAATGGTGTCACTAGAGTGGATGTTTTGAGCTGTTATAGCTGA